GGTTGGAGCCTGAGGAGGGTGGGGTTCGGGGAGGGGGAGGACCCCAAAGGGGCATTATGCCATAGAGCCCACTAGGGTTGTCAGGTCCCCCAGGGGGGGCAGAGGAAACCCTGCTTGATGGGTCCCTTACCCACCGGCCCAGATCGGGCCGTCAGTGGGAACCCCACCCCCAAATTGCCGGGCATGGGGAGACGTGCCCAGTGCGATGACATCACCCGGAAGTGATGTCATCATGCCGGGCACGTTGCGGGGGGGACGCTCTAGCATTCGAGGGGAAACTCTATGGATTTCCCTCAAATGGTAGCGGTCCCGCCCCCAACGTGCCCAGCATGATGACGTCAGTTCCGTGTGACGTCATCGCGGGGCACGCTTTGCGCGCGAGAGAGAACTCCCGGAAACGGGCCAGGACTCCCCCCGCTATTAAACTGGTAAGACTTGGCAACCCGAGAGCCCCCCGGGGCCGTAGCCAGGGTTTTTTAAATCAGGGGGGCCTTTAAATGTCGGGGGGCACCCCACGCAGACACCCCCCCCCCAAGGGAGTGCCACAAATAAAAAATCGGAAGTCGGGGGGCCTAGACTGGATGGGAAGTCGGGGGGCTGGGCCCCAAGATGTAGGGGTTGCCAAGTGTGAATTGAGCCACAGCGGGGGACTCCCGGCTGGCAGCTGGAGCACGCGTGTGCCGCATTCCATCACCCGGAAGTGACGCGGGCACGCCGGGGTGGGGCCACGACCATCCGAGGGAAAACCATAGAGTTTTCCCTCAGATGACCGTGGCCCTGCCACCAGCTTGCCCGGCGTGCCCACATCACTTCCTGGTGACGTGCACATCGGGGTGGAGTTCCCCCCGGGGCCCGATCCACCGCCAGCGGGGAATGGGCCTCTGGGGCGGGGGTTTCCCCACCCCCCGGGGGGACTTGGCAAGCCTACCAAGATGTCCCACTGTAGCTACAGGCCTGGAGCCCGCCCTGCAAAGCAGCCCATTTCTCCAAGTGAACTGATCTCTGTTACCTGGAGATCAGTTCTAATCCCAGGAGATATCCAACTACCACCTGGAAGTTAGGGTAACCAAAGAGAGATCACGGGATAAGCGAGTAGAAAATAGTCAACCGCAATCATTATGTGTTTACGAAGGGATAGGGTTCCCAAGTCGAAAATACTCACTGGCGGGGGAGCCTTGGCTGGCTCCGGGAGCCATCACTGGATGCGCCCTCGCGCGCCTCCAGCACGTCACAGAAAGTGACACGCAACGTCGACCACGTTGAGGGCGTGGCCACGATCGTGGGAGGGGAAAACTGTAGAGTTTTCCCTCCCCGATCTGGGCCACGCCCCCAACGTGGTCGACGTGCACGTCACTTCCTGTGACACTGCGCTTCGGGGGGCGGGTTCCCCCCGGGGCCCGATTCCGCAGTGGTGGAAATCGGGCCTCCAAAGCGGGGGTTTACCCACCCCCCCGCCCCCACTTGGCAGCCCTACGAACGGAATATCTCTCTTTTCTAGGTTTTTTTTTTTAAAGGTCAGTATTCATACGAATACATTTCTGTGCACTTCGTACAAGAACAGACATCGGAAAATGATTCCACAGTGTTGACAAGCACAGGCTAATAATCTAAAGTCCTTACAAACAGTAAATCTTTTGTGCCTTCCTTGTAAGAGTATTGGATTGTAGACAAATAGCATAAAATTCATGAATCTGCAGACGGTCTTGCTCCAACACCTGTTTCATGAGGCTTCTTCAGAGCAGAATATGTGTCGACTCAGTGAATCTTTTCCTGCTCAGCATTCATCTTTGCATGCTGTCTCTCTGCATAATGCTCACGCTCGGTGAAAACTTTTCTCTTATTCAGCTTTCTCTCTGTATGCTTTCTCACAAAGACTTGAATAGTCCTGCTTGCGGTTCGCGCTGATAAGCCTGGTTGCCTCTCTCTGCAGATACGTACCGAGTGAACAAGAAGCGGAAACAGGGCATGCCGGATGTCTTGGAGGAGCTCTCTGGCTCAGGTTTGTGCGCTCTTGGTCCCCTGTGCCCCTGCCCAAGGAAATGGGTCCGGAGTCGGTCTTTTTCATGCATCTGCACTCCGTGGCTCAGTGCGGTAACGGCCCTGAAGGTTTCCTTTTGGCTTTTGCCTCGCCAGATCCTCACGGGATTGAAGCGAAGAGGAAGAAGAAGAAGCCCGGCTACATGGACCATTTCAACCTGACCCCGTCAACAGGTCAGTTAGGTGAGACTAGGCCGAAGCCTGCCTCGATTGGGGCTAGGGTGGCCAGATCCAGGCTGGGAAACTTCTCCAGATTTGGGGATATAGCGGGGGGGACGGGACAGGGAACTCAGTGGGGTGCAATGCCATACAGTCCACCCTCCAAGGCATCCTTTTTCTCCTACAAATGTCCCCCACAGTTATTTCAGGGTTATGAAGAAATCACACAGGTAACGTCTCTGACAGCTAATGTAGTGTAATACTCTGAGAGTTGGACACTACAAGATCTGGGTTCAAATCTCTAATCTGCCACGGAATCTCAGAGCGGCTTAGTCTCCTCCCCCTCCCCCTCCACAATAGATACCCCATGAGGTAGGTGGGGCTGAGAGAGCTCTTTCGAGGACTGCTCTTGAGAGAACAGCTCTGAGAGAACTTGTGACTGACCCAAGGTCACACCAGCAGCTGCATGTGGAGGAGTGGGGAATCAAACCTGGTTCTCCCGAATTAGAGTCTGCACTCTTTAACAACTACACCAAACTGGCTCTCCAGTGTCGTACCAGTCACATGCTCTCGGCCTAACTCACCTCTCCCAGGGTTGTCATCATGAGGATAGAATGGAGGATGGGGGAGAACCACATGCCTTCCTAAGCATTTTGGAGGAAGGGTGGGAGAAAGATTTATCAGTCCAGGGGTTCCCAACCTTGTTGAGCCTGTAGGCATATCTGGAATTCTGACACAGCATGGTGAGCGCAGCTGCAGAATGGTGGCCACAAAATGGCTGCCGCAGGTGATGGAGCCAGTCACAGAATGGCTACCAATCAGGGCTCTTTTTGTAGAAAAAGCCCAGCAGGAACTCATTAGCATAATAGGCCACACCCAACAGCAGGAACTCATTAGCCTATTAGGCCACAACCCTGACAGCACAGCTCATTAGCATATTAGGTCGCACCCCCATGTTACCAGAAGTGTGGTCATCCAGCCACACCCACCTTTTGCTTCTTATTCTGCTTACCTTGTTTGTGGTCAAAACCCAGGGCCTTTTTTTTTAGCAGGAACTCCTTTGCATGTTAGGCCACACCCCCTCTAATGTAACCAATCCTAATGAGTTTCTACTGCTGGGTGTGGCCTGTTATGCTAATGAGTTCCTGCTGGGCGTGGCCAACTCAGGAGCCAGCCGGAACTCCGTTCCTGTGTGTTCCTGCCAAAAAATAGCCCTGGCTACCATAGTTTACCTTCAGTAACAGAATAGATCCAGGTGCTTTGGTGGTGGCTGCCGCCAACGCTCCTTCTAAGCTGTGGAGTCTTGTGAGCAAAAATCCTACTTTGTGAGCGACTGGCATTTAAAGTTGTGAGCGAGCGATTTGGCTACTGCGTAAATTAATCTGCTCCGGAGCCCTCCTTCCCAGGCGAAGGCAAAAAGGTGCGAGCCGGAGGCTAAAGCACTGTGAGCTAGCTCACACTAACTCGGGTTAGAGGGAACACTGGCTGCCGCTAAAGCAATATTTTTTAAAAATCTGTACTGCCAATCAAATCTTCAGTGGCAAAAGGGAAGCCTTGCTGAGCAAAGCCCCACCTGGAGCGCCTGGTGCATGCACAAATCGCACACGCTGTGATGACGTCACCCAGAAGTGACATCATGACGGCAAGCACATTGTGCAGGGGGACACTCTAGCAATCGGGGGGGGGGAGGGGGCTCTATGGTCACCATAGAGTTTTATACTCAAGCGCTGGAGCATCCCCCGCATGACTTGCCCGATGTGATGACGTCACCGCCGGGCTTGTCAGGCGTGATGGGGCTCTTTGAGGGTACCCCTGTATTAGTCCAGGGGTTCCACCGGAATTTTGGGTTCAAAAACTGAAGGAAGGGGGGAATGTTGACCGGAGAGGCCTGTCTCGTATTTGGAGAGAGAGCTTTGCGTCATCTTAGCGGCCTTGCTAAGGAGCGAGGGGTGGTAATGTCATTGTTCTGGTTCCAGCTGGCCCCATGACCCACCTGGAAGACGGGAATTTCCTATCCGGCTTGGAGCACATCACGCTGCCGCAGACCTTCGACGACTACGGCCTGCTCCCCGACTTCACTTCTTACGCCAGCCCCAGCTTGAGCGACGTCCTGCTGCCCAGCGCTATGGACTTCCCCGACGGGGCAGACCCCGAATTCCTCCTAGACACTTACGCCCTCCACTCCGGCATCTCTGTCCCCCTCCCGCTCTCTGGGGAGAGCGATCCAGACGGCATGGCCAGTTTGGTGGGCAGCAGCTTGTTTCCCAGCCAGTACAAAGAGGCTGAAGCCAAGGCGGAAATGGAGGCCAAGCTGACGGCGGCCGGCACCTCGGGGAACTTGTGAAGGATCGTGGCCCGCCGGAGCCTCTCTGGGAAGAGGCCTCGCTCTCCACCTTGAACCGTACCGACTGCAGGGCGCGCCTTGGGTAGACAGACCGGGGACGTGTTCCCTGCTGGCGATTTGAAGGGAAGAATTCTGCTGTCGCCTGTATGAGGGACCGTGGAGGCCTTCCCTGTGGGGACGCAGGCAAAACAGAAATTAGAAGGAAAACTGGCACTACTTAGTTCAGTGGGAGGGGAGAGGCATTACCTGTAAGATCAGACCGGGGGTGCCTTCATTTGCTCTCCCCGTATGTCTTCCTCAGTTTTCCCCATCTGTAAAATGGGCCAGCGATACCACCTTGCTCTTTAACAAGGTTGGTTGGGATGCAGGGCAAAATGTTGACCTTCCAGGAGGGGCAAAGATCCCCCACCATCCCACCCCTGTCTTTAGCACTTCTCCCCCCAGCCTTATCGCGAGAGCAAACACGTGGTCCTGCGCTCTCCAACTCGGTTCTGCTCCAGTCCCGTCACCGGGAGTTTCACTCCTTTTATTTTACTTCCTCTTAACCCCACGGAGGTACAAGGTAGACAAGGCCATCGTAGAGAACTGCCGGTCCTTCTAATCGAGTACCATCCACTCTGATTGACGTCCAGTGCCTCTTTCCAAGTCTTCACATTGGAGAGCTTTTAAAAAAAATGATTGAAATGTTTAATGTAGAATGAACTCTTTTTTTTTTTGTACCATAGTGCAGACTTTTGCTCCCTTCCCATTACTCCCCAGAAGGGGAACGTCTTGGAAGTGACATTTTATACCACTTTTTAAAAATCCAGGTGTGTCTGCTGGAGACAATCCTACTTAGCTTGCAGGGCGGTTGTGCCCAAAACAGAAGAGCAGGAAAGCATTATGGGAGCAGGGGTGAGGGAGATATGAGACAACACCGTTTTTGGGTGGTACTGGGGGGTTGTGAATGTCCTTCCCCTGGAGGGACTGTGTTGATTTTCCAGACCTTTTAGTTGACAGTCTACAGCGGCGTGGTCTGTAGACTGTGGTTCTCTCAAGCTTGTGGGGAAAAGGAATATGGTCTTAGGAGGGCATGGATTGGAGCTGAAATGAAATTTTGTACACATTTGAAATGTGGTCGGTTGGGGTCACTCCGCATTTCAGAAACGGATTATGTTTTATGGGGCTGTTTAGGCCTCAGAAATGTCCATTTGCTATTTAGGCCTCAGAAATGTCACTATTTAGGCCTCAGAAATGTCAATTTAGGCCTCAGAAATGTCGCTTATTTAGGCCTCAGAAATGTCGCTAATTTAGGCCTCAGAAATATCGCTTATTTAGGCCTCAGAAATGTCACTATTTAGGCCTCAGAAATTTCGCTTATTTAGGCCTTAGAAATGTTGCTTATTTAGGCCTCAGAAATGTCACTATTTAGGCCTCAGAAATGTCAATTTTGGCCTCAGAAATGTCAATTTAGGCCTCAGAAATGTCGCTTATTTAGGCCTCAGAAATGTCACTATTTAGGCCTCAGAAACGTCAATTTAGGGCAGGCCTCAGAAACGTCACTGTTTAGGCATAAATATCAGTTTAGGCCTCAGAAGTATCACTATTTAGGGCCTCAGAAATGTCAATTTAGGCCTCAGAAATGTCAATTTAGGCCTCAGAAACATCACTATTTAGGCCATAGAAATGTCACTCTGCAGAACAGCGGGATTCTTGCCAAGCTGCTTGTGGTTTACGGTGTTTTCACCATGCGCTTCTCATCCTATACAGTCTTAAACTGGACTCAAGTTATGGGGCAAAAGGTAACAAAGGTGCTAGCACTGTCCTGGGAATTGCCTTGCGCTGTATTTTCTCTTCCAGATCGAGGCTACGTTGCCTCCCTCCTCTGCTGGTAAATGTTTTGTGAGGATTCTCCCTTCCGAGTGTTTCTACCAGATTCTGAGCTTGGTTGAGGCCAAAGCATAGGCCTGTCCCCAAAAGGCACTGCCGCTGGTTCCACCTGAGATTTAAAAGGCACAGCTCTTGCAAAGATTTCCAGATATTGCACTATATTTTGAAAAGCACTTAACCAGTTTCTCTCCTGCTTTGTATCAATACAAGGGAAAAACAAGGCCTCCGTACCTAATAAAAGATTATAGAGCGGTGAGGAATTTTTAAGAATTCAGGGCATGGAAATCACAATCGTTATTATAAAGGCAATTATTTCCCTGTATTTTGGAATGTGACTAATGTTGGACGGATCCGGTTCAAGTTGGACTTAACTCCCTGCGTACCATGTACATCTGCCGCGCACAGGGTCCTGTTTATCCATTTCTACTGTCTTACTTTTCAGCCCTGTAATCTGTTTTAAGTGCCGTCGTGGCTCAGCCCCTGGAAAGATGTGAAACAATTAATAAAGCTGGCAGTGCCTCTGAGCGTGTCCAGAGTTAATCGTCCTTTACTTGTGACTGCAACAGCCAGCTATCCAACCTCTGGGTTGACGGCCAGGGTTCCTGGGTCAAAGGGAGTGTTTTAAGTGTTGGTAACTCTCTTTCTACAGAATCCACAGGGTGTGTCTCAGGTAGGAGGGCTGAGTGTGGTGATCAATGGGTCCCAATGCAGTATAATTGGTGCTTCTAAATGAGCATGACCATTTGGGCAAAAATGCAGGAGCAGTGTTTAGGGCCATGCTGAGGGTTGCACGGACAGTCTGTATGGGACACGGATAGATTGAGACGGGTAGCCGTGTCTGTCTGTAGCAGTAGAAAAGAGCAGGAGTCCAATAGCACCTTAAAGACTAACAAAACATGTGGCAGGGGAGGAGCTTTTGTGAGTCTCTGCTCACTTCTTCAGATAAATTTGTGGCAGGGGAGGAGCTTTCGTGAGTCACTGCTCCACTTCTACAAGATGGGTAGCCGCAGGGCTATTTTGGGGCAGGAACGCACAGGAACGGAGTTCCGGCTGGCTCCCAAGTTGGCCACGCCTAGCAGGAACTCATTAACATAATAGGCCATACCCAACAGCAGAAACTCATTAGGATTGGCTACAATTAGGGGGTGTGGCCTAACATGCAAAGGAGTTCCTGTTTAAAAAAAAAGCCCTGGGTTTTGACAACAAACAAGGTAAACAGAATTAGAAGCAAAAGGTGGGTGTGGCTGGATGACCACACTTCTGGTAACATGGGGGTGCGACCTAATATGCTAATGAGCTGTGCTGTCAGGGTTGTGGCCTAATAGGCTAATGAGTTCCTGCTGTTGGGTGTGGCCTATTATGCTAATGAGTTCCTGCTGGGCTTTTTCTACAAAAAGAGCCCTGGGGTAGCCCTGTTTGTCTGTAGCAGGAGAAAAGGGCAGGAGTCCAGGAGCACCTTAAGGATGAACAAAACTTGTGGTAGGGGATGAGCTTTCGGGAGTCACTGCTCACTTCTTCAAGATGGGTGGCCATGTTAGTCTGCCTGTAGCAGGAGAAAAGGGCGGGAGTCCAGGAACACTGTAAAGACTGACAAAACATGTGGCAAGGCAGGAAATGTTGGGAGTCACTGCTCTCTGACCAAGTGAGCAGTGAGTCATGAAAGCTCCTCCCCTGCCACAAATTTTGTTAGTCCTTAAGGTGCTCCTGGACCCTTGCTTTTTTCTGATGTTTATTTGTTCCACCCTGTAGTTGGCATGTGGAGACAAGATCATGCATGTGTAGAGTTGCCAACTTCCAGGTGGGGAGTGGAGACATCCCACTATTACAACTGATCTCCAGATGATACAGATTGGTTCCCATGGAGAAAAGGACTGCTTTGGAGGGTGGACTCTATGGCATTAACCCCTGCAGAGATCTGTCCTCTCCCCAAACCCCGCAGTTAGTCTTTAAGGCGCACCTGGGAAACTCCTGGAGATTTGGGGTCGGAGCCTGGGGAGCACAGGGACCTCAGTGGGGTGCAATGCCACAGAGCCCACCCTCCAAAGCAATGCTCCCTCTAAGCTGTGGAGTCTTGTGAGCAAAACTTCTACTTTGTGAGCTACTGGCATTAAAGTTGTGAGCGAGCGATTTGGCCGCTGCATAGATTAGTTTGCTCTGGAGCCATCCCCTTCCTGAGCCAAGACAAAAATGTATGAGCTGGAGGCTAAAAAACTGTGAGCTAGCCCACACTGACTCAGCTTAGAGGGAGCACTGCTCCAAAGCATCCATTTTTCTCCAGGGGACCTGATCTCTGCAGTTTGGAGAGAAGCTGTAGTCCCCGGGAGATCCTCCCTGGAGGCTGGCAGCCTTACGCATCCCCGAGTAATAATGCAGGCTCGAGGGTGGCTTCTGCGCCTGCGCCCTGTGCGTTCCGGCACTCTTCCTCCACTGACCCCTAGGGGGCCACTCTTCGCGCAGACGACTGGAGGGAACCGAATCTTCGGAGGCGCGCTGTGATTGGCTGGCGTGCCAGGCGTCACGCGGCCCCCGCTCATCCAATGGGCCGCAAGGAGACGGTCTCGCACGCCCTCGCTCCGCTCCCGGCCATTTCCGGTTCCGGTCTAGAAGCTGCGACTTCTTGGGCGGGTGAGGTATGGCCTCCCCCGTCCTCTAATCCGTTGACAGGGGCGGGTTGTTGCCACTTGAGGGGGGCGGAGAGAAGCGGCCCGGGGGTCCTTGTTGCGGGGAAGACCCTCCCCTTGCCCCACGGTAGGAGAAAAGTGGCCCTTTTTTGGGGGGGGGGAGGGGGTCTTGGGCATAGCTGCCTGCAGGTTTCTTGGCTCTTCTCCCTTAAAATGTACGAGACGCAGCTTTTTTTTGGGGGGGGGGGAATCTTGCCCCTCCGTTCCGTAAGATGCTCCAACTCCCAAAATGACCCAAAGTGATATTTTTAACAGCTAAATTCGAGTCCAGTAGCATCTTATAGGCCAACAAGATTTTCCTAGAGGGGGTATAAAAGCATATATATAATAATTATTTTTTTTTTGTGTGTGTATATAATATATATATATATACACATGTATATATATATGTATAT